TGACTTGCCTAAATTATTCAATTCGAACTCAACTAAGAAGACTTCAATTTCTTCATTGACTTTAATCACAAAATCAATGACAGTTGAGGTCTGCATGCTAGTCACATCTACTTTGAATGTCACTAATTCATTTGGCTCCTTTGTGATTAATTTATTCGTTTCTACATGTTCTCGTTCTTTAGTTCGTACATCAGGTTGAATAATGAAGAGATCCTCCATTGGTATGTTATTTGATTCATATGAAATTACTTGATCTTCAATCCTTTTATATTTTTTGCATGATGACGTCTCCCGTAACTATTTCACCGCCATCGTCTTGTTCATATGGATCATCAAATATAGCTTTCCTTACTTTCTCTGGAGTCATCAATAACAAGCAATTTTTTGTAAGATGTAATGCTCCACAATATTCACAAGTTGGTTTAATCTCATCATAAACAATAGATTTGATATTTAGTCCATTAGGAAAGCCATCCTTATCCAATAAAATAGGTTGATCATATGACCACTTTTTAAGTTCTTGTTTGATTATGAATTTTCTAAAGATCATGTCACCTTCATTTAAGTCTGGATCAATCATTGTGAATTTTTTACCTCTTGCTTCTTTACAGTCACTGTCATGGAGCAAAGAAAACAAGTACATGAATTGAAAAAAGAAAAGAAATGAAATGAAATAAAAGAGAAATAATTAAAATCAAGGGATAATTGCAGCAGCGGTACCAAACCTTTCATTTAGTAGCAGACTTTGCCCAAACATTTAATTTGTGCCACCAACGGTACCAAACCTTTCAAAATGTCCGCAACTGAAGTCCAAATGGATAGTTTCTGTTAGTTTGACTGTTAGTTGACCAAATAATTGATTTTGACAATAATGTTGATTGATTTTAAAATGTTAAAATGATAATTTTACATTTTTTAATAATAAAATAATCAAAACCAAATAATTAAAATTAAAAACTCATTACACCTTCTATTTCTTCCCCACCCCACCCCAAATCTACAAATTTGGGAAATCAACTTCTTTGAATCCTCAAATCCATGGCGTCAGAAACCTATTGCCCAACTAAGTAGATCTACGTACGCCGAATTAGAGATTCGGACTTAACAACCTATTAGAAATAGAGCTCCTCGATAAAAATATGGATTTCCTACTGAAATGGTTACCGAAGAAGAGGAGAATAAGAGAAAAGAGATTGAAAATGGCTTAGGGATTTTCTGTATGACATCTATTCATCTAAGCAAGTTTCTGGTAAGGTCCATTTTTTGTTGCCAATTTGCGGGGGCGCTTGTGGCGGTCGCTGCAGCCTGTGTGTGGGTGGATTGCAATTGTCAGCACAGTGGAGGTTGGTGGATTTTGGTTCGTTTGGTTGGGGTTAGGTGAGGGAAGGTGGGGGTAAGTGTGGGGAGTAGGAAGAAGATGAACTGTTTCGGATGAAGTTTTGGGTTTATGATTCTATGATCAATCAAGATGAAGTTTTGGGCTAAAGCACAGACAGAGTTCCTTAGAGCAACTGCCATTGGAGCAGAGCGCACATTTGGTTTTGAGAACTCCATTCACGAGCTTGTTGAAGCGTTCTCGAAGTTCCAAACCCAGGGGGTGAAGAAGGTGAAATGTGTTTTTAATTTTAATTATTTGAATTTTGTTATTTAATTATTAAAAATGTAAAATTACCATTTTAACCTTTTAAAATTAGTCAACATTATTGTCAAAGTCAATTATTTGGTCAACTAACGGTCAAACTAACAGAAATTATCCATTTGGACTTTAGTTGCGGACATTTTGAAAGATTTGGCACCGTTGATGGCACAAATTAAAGGTTTGGACAAAATATGCTACTAAATGGAAGGTTTGGTACCGCTGCTGCAATTATCCCTAAAATCAATATTAAATAAAAATAGTCCCGGGTAATGGCGCCAAAAACCTGTTGTCAATTTTTATATCCCTCAAATATACGAATCGTAACAAGTAATATAGTTGACCAATTAGTCTGGATATCGTTCTCACGAGAACTACTATCTAACAATTGGTTAAATTATTCCTAACTTTAATTTGATCGAAAACAAATAATAATTTAGTGATTACTATCTAAATTACTCTAACTAAACTAAATTAATCTAACGCACACAATTTATCGAATTTGAATTTTGAAAGTACGAATGTGGATGCTAGGACTTACAATTTTACTTATGGATCCCCTTTAATTCGCAAATCAAGATCCATTACTATTGTAGCAATCGGTTGAATTCTTCTGAAGTATTCAATTTACACATCTCGAATTTTTATTGAGTCTATTTAATTAATTTAATTTCTTATCTCTATGTGAATCAACTTTAGTTAAATGAAGTATTTATTCTAAGAATTCATCTAATGACTGTAATAATTAATATAAGTATTTCTACACGTTATACTAAATTACTGAATTTTACTGTCATCTAAATCTAAAACTCACCTCTCAATTTATAATAGATTCACAAAATCATTGAATAATTGCGAAAGAATTCAAAGCATTAAATTCATGAATAAAATCAACACATATGCATTTAAAAATTTAGAATCTTGAATAAAAGAGATAAATGGTCACCCTACCTATGAATATATGTACTCATAATAATGAAAGAAAAACAAAAAATATAAAGTTCAAAACCAGGTTTTTAAATCTTGATCATGGAAAGAATTGGATCTTGCACCAAGAATCTTCTTCAACCTCAAAAGTTTTCAAACCCTAGCTTTTGCTCTTTGATCTTGATGATTATATTTTTTTTCTCTCCCCAAAATTGTGTGGAATTAGATTTGAGTTTTTGACGAGTTTTAGTTGAATTGGGCTTTTAAAAAAGATGAATTGCATTTGAAAACCATATTTTTGGCGATAGGTAGTGCCTAGGCGCCATGCAGTGGCGCTGCGATGCCACGAATCTGGTCTTTTTCCCGAGAGTGGGCTTCGAGGCGCCACCTGCTGTTCCAACTTTGCGCCTTCTTCAGTGTTTTTGTCAAAACTTTCTCTTTTAATATCAGATTAAGGAGATTCAAAGTGTGTTGAAAAGATAATTCAAAAGGTTATAACTTTACTTGAAATAACTTGTTTTCAATTCAAACATTTACTATGTCAAAAAATGTGTTTCAATCTTGAGCTAAAAATATTGAAGTGTGTGGTTGAAAATTGATTTGTGTCCATATTTCACTCATTTTTGGCTTCTAATTGCATCCAATTGACCCCTAGTATTCTCGAATTCTCATCGTGAGCTTTGACACAACTTTGAGTATTTATACTTTAATCCTCAAACTTTGGATCTTGCCCATTTTTTCGCCAATTTTCACTTCTTTCTTTCAAATCCACTTACTTGCATCGAGTTTCACCTAATAAACGAAATATATAATACATTAGGCTATAATTGTTCAAAAGAACTATTAAATGTCTATATTTTAAAGACCAAATAAGTGTATTTTACACTTATTAGTTGTTCACTAAATTTTGAAAAACGTCTTAAATTGCTCACTAAACTTTAAGATGATCGGAATTTGACCACTAAATTAAAAAACGTCTTTTATTGCTCACAATATATTTGGATTTATTTAAAATTTTTCGATAAGTTTCGGATTAAAATTTGAATTTAATTTAAATCTAACAACAAATTTAGCCATTGTATAGTACCGATTAAAATTCAAATTTTGCTCTAAATCAAAGTCAACAATAAGTTTTAACCACATATTTTATGGGTCCCATAACTTTTCAACTATAATTTCATCAATTTTTATCAAGATCTGCTCAAAATATGACTTTAATCAATACCAAAACAAATGCTTAGTTCTTATTTGATAGGAATTAAAATCTAAATTTTTCAAACTCAAAGTCAACAATTAAATTTAACCACATATGTATGTGACTCATAACTTTTCAACAACACATTTCATCAAATTTTATCAAAATCTGTTAAAAATCTGCTTTCAATTCTGACTAAACATAGGCTTATTGTGTATTTCGTTGTAAAATTCAAATATTAAAAGCAAAATTTAATGTAATTTTAATAGCAAATTTATTATGTATTTTATTGCAATTAGTAGTCACTTCCTTTGCACAGTTTTGCAAGTGTTGTCTATCATAATATTTGAATTTTGCAACAAACTATACAATAAATTTGTTATTAAAATAAAATTAAAGCATGTTTGAGCCAAATTATTGTAGAATGAGAATGAAAAATATAGCCGTTATTGGGGCTCACCTAAGAGATATAAAATTTGAATTTAAATGTTGATGTGATAGATAACGATCATATTTTTTATTTTAATGAGATAATAATGTAGATCAAACGGGGGCTTATCCGAATTTTAATATTTGAATTTACAACGAAATACACAATAGTTAGAATTAAATTTAAATTTTAATCCAATTTTAACAACGAATTTAATTAAATCCAAATTTATTGTGAAGAATAGAATTTTTTTTTTAAGTTTAGTGGCCAAAATTCGACCATCTCAAAATTCAGGGAATAATAAAAGATATTTTTAAAAATTTACTGACAATAAAATGCACTTTCTAAAATTTAATAGCCAAAATTCGACCATATGTGACTGGACGTTTATCAGTCAAGTCATCTTTGTCATCAATTCCAAGTTCAGTAACCAATCGACATTTTAAACACCGTAGGAACAGTTAACTCGTGGAAGGGAGGAGCAAAGGCAGATGGGTGTATTTTTCTATTTATAGTCAAATTTGAGTGAATTCTGAGTGTTTAGTTTATTGCCACAAATGCAGCCGAAATGTGAGCACTGCCATTCCAACAAATATGGCCTCTCGAAATTCGCCCAACAAAAACAAAATTCAAAGAATCAAACACTCATTTCTAGGATTTTTTCATACTAAATCCTTCAAAACAAGAAAGTATTCACTGCAAATTGGGCAAAGATTGAGGGGGACAAAGAAAATGACAGAGGAAGAGCATTGGAAAACAATGACTCAACCTCTTCAGATTCGTCACCACGGAAACAAATTGTCGTATTGGATATGGAAACCCCATTGTTCGATGCAAAATCGTCGTCGAACGAGGTGGTTCTCCATGACGCGCCGTCAGCCGTGTTAGTGTATGGCGACGGCGGCGATTATATGCCGGTGCAAACGTTTCACGATGTTAAGAATTTGTTTTACCTTGAATCGATCAAATTATGGTCTATTGCAGCTCCCATTGCGTTTAATATTGTTTGCAATTATGGGATTAATTCGTTTACAAGTGTTTTTGTTGGGCACATTGGAGATGTGGAACTCTCTTCTGTTGCCATTTCTTTATCAGTCATTGCGAATTTCTCTTTCGGATTTTTGGTAAGCATGTTGACTTTCTCTTCTGATACTGATTGTTTTTCTTAGTGGCATGTTTGGGTAAAAAATTTGTTAGTCACCCAACTTGTTTTACTTTGATCCCCGAACTTATTTTATTCCAAATCAGTTATTGAATTTTTGTTTTTGTTTCGGTTTAGGCACTAAGCTATGCTAATGGAAATTCTAATGTGGCTAACGGAAAATATGACTTTGCATGGAAAATCCGTTAGTGTACTTTCGTCAAGTTGGGCAAAAACGCAGTTTGTTTTAATTAATGTGTTAAATTCCCAAGGGATTTTATTCACATGAAAGATAGAAATGATGCAATAATGATTTTTTTTATGTCGCGTCTAGCCACATTAGCTTTTTTTTTAGTCGAGCAAACGGGGGTAGACGGAACAGAAAAAGTGAAGCTTGAGCAACAATTTGGAACAAATAAAAGTTCGGTGACCAAAGGATAAGATGTTCCATGTTGGTTGACTAATCTTGTTTTTGACTGGGTAAGTTGCATAGGACAGAATTGAGTTATAGAATAACAATAAGTTAAAATCTTGTCATTGCACGACCGAATCTTGTTGAATACTATGTATGGAACATGCCTTAAAGTTTTGTATTGTGATCCGAGTCCAAAGATCAAAACACATCGAAATTTACTGTTTTTATCAATTCTTTCTTGCTCGCTCTAACAGCTTGGAATGGCTAGTGCACTGGAGACATTATGTGGACAGGCCTTTGGTGCCGGGGAAACAGAAATGCTTGGAGTTTACATGCAAAGGTCGTGGATAATCCTCATAACAGCCTGTGTCTGCCTATTACCTCTTTACATTTTTTCAGTCCCTGTGCTAAAACTCCTAGGCCAAAGACACGACATTGCAGAAATTGCTGGCAGATTCTCATTACAAATTATTCCTCAGATGTTTTCACTTGCCATAAATTTTCCGACACAGAAATTCTTACAAGCTCAAAGTAAGGTGACAATTCTTGCATGGGTTGGGTTTGTGGCCCTCGTTCTGCATGTCGGTGTGCTGTTTTTGTTCATTAAAGTTTTCAAATGGGGATTGGCTGGTGCAGCAGCAGCCTATGATATTTCTGGTTGGGGAGTTGCTTTGGCTCAAGTTGTGTACATTACAGGCTGGTGCCAAGATAGCTGGAAGGGGTTATCTTGGTTGGCTTTCAAGGACATTTGGGCTTTTGTGAGGCTTTCTGTAGCATCTGCGGTAATGCTTTGTTTGGAGATTTGGTATTTTATGAGCATAATTGTTCTTACAGGGCATCTTGAAGATCCAGTCCTGGCAGTTGGATCCCTTTCAATCTGGTATTCTCCTAGTCTTTTTATAAGAATTTTCTTTGACTCTCGTTGCATGCTGTGTATTAGTATTCATATCATAAGAAGAGCATATTTAATTGTCCTACCTGCTTACATGAACTTACTTATTGCTAACTATGATTTTCGAAGTTACTTTTAACTTTTAAGCATGACTAAACATGCATAACAATGTTTTATGTTGGCCGTTGATTTACTCCAACCCTCCTCTACGTGAACTTAGGACTGACTAGGAAAATATATGCAGAGTTAGAAGAGAGTGGTATAAATAAAACATGGCTTCTTGTGGTTCATAAGAATCTAGTTGCTTTAGATTTTCATGTAGATTTAGCATAAACCGAGATGGGGTTTCAAAACGCACCATACCCTAAATTAATGGGAACAAGGCTTTATTTTTGGCACTTTTCACTTCTCATTGCCTTCTATTCATATTCAGACAGTCTGCCATGTCAATCAGTTGGTCAAGTTGATGAGTGTGAATTCTTATACGAGTATTAACTACTAAGACGAAAAGGAGATTTTCAGGGACATAAATCGATAAACTTGATTAATGCAAAACAGTGAAATGTGACATCCCATGTAGTTCAATGCATCGGAATCTTGAAATCAGATTTCATATCTCATTTCCCACTAAAAAAAATATGGGATAGTCAGATATTCAACTTGCTCCTCGAGGAGGATATTAGACCTTGTACCCCATTTTCCACCCTACCCTACCCCCAATAATCAAACCAAAAAATGTCTATATTTCTCAAGCAGTTCAATTTCTTGCCGGAGAGTGAAGATTTGATTGTAACCATATTCTACTGATCATTTACTGACTTGTTCTAGCATGAACTTGAATGGATGGGAAGGCATGCTGTTCATCGGAATAAATGCAGCCATAAGGTAAATATGTTTTGTTTTCCCACTCCATATATATACCATCACCCTATCTTCAATACAAACACTTGATTTCTCCCCTTTCCCTTTAATTCCCTTTCAGCGTTCGTGTATCTAATGAACTCGGATCTGGACATCCGAGGGCTGCCAAGTATTCAGTATTTGTCACGGTTGTTGAATCACTTTTCATTGGGATAATTAGCATGTTGATAATAATAGCAACTAGGGACAAGTTTGCTGTCCTTTTTACCAACAGTGAACAAATGCAAAAGGCTGTTTCTGATTTAGCTTACCTTCTTGCTGTAACTATGGTGCTCAACAGTATCCAGCCAGTTATATCAGGTATAACATTGGAAACTTTTTATTTCGGTTAAATACACTGGTTTTCCCTAAACCTTTAACAAAATTTCATTTCCATCATTGTTTGTTGTTCAAGTGGTCACTGTAACTAAAACTTTATTACAATTTAGTCAATCAGCTCATCTCCGTTGGTTTGACCAACAAAAGTTGATATTACAGTCACATCAACTTTTCTGATAGCCAAACTAATGGACATGGATGAAATGACGAAATTGTAGTAAATGTTTAACTCTAATGATCAACTTTGAACAAAACAAAAAAGTTAACCCCTTTTTATTTGGTTTTCTTGACTCAATATTGACAATGGGCATTAGCTTCTACTCTTTGTGAATACTTGAAAAATTTTCCCGCAGGAGTTGCTGTTGGGGGAGGATGGCAAGGACTGGTGGCTTATATTAATCTGACTTGCTATTACATTATAGGACTCCCTATTGGATTTTTTCTTGGTTACAATACAAAATTAGGGGTTCAGGTAAAGTCATCATCACCAGTAAATTCGCGAAATATACTTCATGACCTGCCCTGCACCCCCTGAAAAAGGAGAAAAGGAAAAGATAACTCGAAAAACAAAAGATTTACACAGCTTTTCAACTTCCATTTTATATTGCTAGTTGCATTTGGATGAGGTCAAAGATCAGAGAAAATTTTGAGTTTTTTCTTTCTGTAACTACTAATTTAAGCACCTTTGTGAATGTTTTCTTGTAGGGAATTTGGATGGGGATGATTTTCGGAACTTTCCTGCAAACTGTGATTCTTTTGCTTATTGTGTGGAAAACGAATTGGAATGAGGAGGTAAGATCTTGGTGCCTATTACTAACAAAATGGGGTTGCAATCGGGGGCAGACTGGCCCTTGTGTGTCCTAGGCACGTCTAGTCCTGGCCCGGCTTCCATTTTATGCATGGATTGGTCAGCATCCGAAGATGTGTTGATCTGTTTTACACCAGTAGTTGCAAAAGACAATACTGGCAAAATTGTATATCAAGATAGATGTAAAGTGCACGTTTCATCTTCAATTACATGCTAATGAAACCATTTTTTCCCCTTATATTGCAGGTGGCACAAACATCAGAAAGAATGCGAAAATGGGGAGGGCTAAATGATGATTTAGATGTAAAGTAAAAAAATTCTGGAAAGAAAGAAATATATCAGTTTCTCTTCAACCTTAACTAGAAATATTTTTGTATAGGGACAATTATCCCATGGCAGCTGTTTTACTACCGTAGGAGAGAATATTTTTAGGACATGTTTGGTATGATGTACGAAACAAAAATAGATAATATAATGCATAATAGTTTAGCTTATTTTTTTCATTAACAATGTTCAGAATTTCATAGTCCATCCATTTGTTCATATGGTTTAGATGTATCTGAGCATCAATGGAAGGGAACTTTTATATCCAAAGGTGGAGATCCTATATTGTTCAATCTCAATTCTTTTGCAATATGGAAATTTCAGTCTTTCAAAATTGTACATTTCTTGACCATTTCGTTTTTAAAGCTTATACGGTAAGAAAGTTTTTAAAGTTCATCGAAGAGTCTTCCAAATATTCAATTAAGTATTTACTTGATGAGTTGTGCAACATGTACAAAGTTGAGTTACAAAGTTGGTTGACAGAATAACATCTACATTCATCATTTTAAAAACAGATTTTTAAATCATTGGAAATCAATGGTCTTGATTTTGTCAACACACTTTGTAACCCAACTTTTATAACTCAACTTTGTACAAATAGCTTTATTGTTACTCGATTGCTTCCATGAATAAGAAGCAATGGTTGCTTTCGTGAAGCAATATGGAGTATCTATAAATAATTTATAAATATGAACCAAAAATGGGCTATGTTATTAGACTGACAATAGTCGACGAAAGTAAATCAAAGTTAGGTTGCTAGTTCTCACGAAATTTATTTGAGGAAAAAAAAATTTAAAAAATCCGACCTGCCGGATTCGAACCAGCGACCTAAGGATTACAGCACCAACTACAGTCCTCCGCTCTACCAACTGAGCTAAGGTCGGTTTTATTTTTGTTTTCGCATTAACAATTATATTATTCTATATATAATTAATAAAAAACTTATAAAAAGAGGATTTGGTGCCTAAAAGTAAATACTAAAGTAAAAATTATAACGAAGTAATAAAACCTTTTCAAAAATGAAATTTTAGTACGATCTTTGACGTGAAATTCATTTCTAATTGTAAATGTAATGAAATTATGAGGTAATTTGAAGGTGTTTTAATACACCTCTATTATTTTGAGTAATGGACTAATATTCCTTACATCTCTCTTTATTAATGATGTTAATGTAACGTAGTATTAGTAAATTATGGGAAATTTACAATAAATATTTTAAATCTTTCAAAAATGTGTTGTTAAGTCCCAAACTTCCTAATTTTTAAAAAATGTTGAACCCCGCCCCGCCCCCACATTGTGGAGGAGGTAAATCGCGGGATGTGCCTCAACGGATCAGGGTACAAGAACTGTCATACCAGTACCCACAAAGAGTCAAATTTCATACATTGTACGAGGTAAGAATCGAACCCTCACATTGCAGTTGCCAGCTCAATTAAGACTATACTCTTGTTATTTGCACCAGTGAACTATGCCCCGGGGGTCCAAACTTTCTAATTTTAATACTTGCATTATTATGGTGCGTCGTAAGGATTTCTGGATGATTTCTATTCAAATGTCCGTCAGTTGATCAAAATAAGTCTGATTTTAATTTGAGCAATTTAATGAAGGGCAAAATGATAAGTTGACCATTAGCTCATTTTTGTCTCCATTTAAAACAAAAGTCTGTAATTCTCATACTTATTTTTAATCGCACATTTATAAAATAAAATATTTTGTACGTAAATTCAAAAAAATTCTTTATTTTTTAACCACACATTTTCCAAAAAATCACTATGCAAAACATGATTTTTTTTTCCTAAAAATAATGGCAATCAAACCGGGGCTTAGTTAATTAAAACAGTTAAAAAATGAGAAAAAAAAATACAAAAAAAATAAGAAAAGATGTTTGCAGATTACGAAGAATTGGAGAAGATAAAAATAAATAAATAATTAAAAAAAAAATCACCCAGCCGGAAATCGAGGGGAAGAAATCCCCCGGTTGGTCACCACCCCTGATCACCTCGCCGGAAAAAAACACAATCCCACAAGCAACTTCCACTTTGGGCTCCAAAATCTCCTTAAAACGCTCACTAAAAAGAACACCTCCTTACAACCATACCAATTTCAATTACCCGAAGAAATCGAACTCGCTTTCCCAAATTCACCTGGAAGCTAAAGAAGCCATGTTCATCAGTTATATTTTCTTCACAATTCGCGTGGATGGGACAGATTTTCTGTACTAAAACTAAAAGCTCAAGAGTAACAAAAGTAATAAAAAATCTAGCCTGTTCCAGTCCTGCAGAAACTTAAACGACACAAATCCATCCACAAAATTCAGAGCTTATGTTGATCTTGTGCCTGTGTAACTGTCATGTTAATGGAGTGATTTTTTATGTGCTTAGTTGTATTGTGTACCTGATTCTCTTTCTAAGAACAGTGCGTTGGAAATCTGGGTCAATATCAAGATGAACAGCAAAATAAAAATTGAGAATAATAACTATAGAAGGAACAAGATGAGTTACCTGGAGAAGTCCAAAACCCAAGAAAACTACTGGCCGTAAAAGATATAAACTTATCTTGAAAAATTTGTTATGAATTACGTAGTTTATTTCTTGGGAACTTAAAATGAATTTTATGCTTTCTGTTCTGATTCAGCTTTAAGTTCATCCCTGTGTGAAAGACAGATCAACAAAATCAAGACTTGCAGAACAAAAACAATTCCTGCAATATGTAATTACTTTTTATTCAATTTAATCTCTTCAATTAAAATGTTCAAGCAACAAATTAGCGATAGATAAGCATGCCATGAATGACAAGAGGCACGATACAATAGGTCTGGGAATTTAAACAGCACAGTGAAGAAGGTGATCATTTTAGCTTCTTGCTGAAGTCGGAAAGCTGAAGGATGTGAATTCTGGGAATGCTTGCAGCCTCGTCTCTCTCTTTCGGAGTGTTATAACCCCAATCTCCTGCATCCACTAACTCGTTTCAGAAATCAAAACAATGCACCAAACCAACAAACGTGAGATAAAAGGATCACCAAATCCGAATGAACCATGATTACCAAGATATAAGTTCCATTTATCCAATTCTGGCTCTTTTATAACGTTCTTTAGACTCGCAAGTCGGTCTTCAACAAAGCTGTTCGAAATGGACGAGCAAATATTTTTCAACAGTACAGAATTCAAATAAATACTGAAGAATTAAAGAATTGTTCTAAAATCAGCTAGTAATCGGCCATGAATCTTACTGTAGAGTTAGACCCTGGTGTTCTGGCATGTTCTGAAGCTGCTTCAGCACTTTCACTTTTGGACTGAAAATTTTAAAACAGAAGATTCAAATTAGTGTTGATAAGGAGAGGTCGAAATCTAACATAATCTGCCAGATTACTGTCTTTCTCCCTTACTCAATTTATTCAGAAGATACTCACCCAGTTCCAAGACCATACATTTTTTCAGGTGGAATAATGACTCCTGCGAGTTCTCGTAATAATGCATCTGCAAAGCGGCTCTGTAAATGGTAAGGTGGTAAGTGGATAACATTAAGAAATCACAATACTGGCTAAGACACTTGCCCAAAAAATTTGGAAACATCAAGTGCATGTAGGATTCTATAGGAGCGGACAATATAATAAACAAGATTTAAGCTTACTTTATTTCATTAATATTGTCGAGTTCTATGAAATTCTCCATACATGAAGATTTTAACATTACATCAAATTTAATGTGTGCATGTCTTTCTGCTTGAAACGAACCTGTTTTGTTGTCACGATATAGACCTTAGAGCTTGCAAATTTCAGGGCATCAGGAACACCAGGATAAAATCTGCAGGATAAGCCTTACTTTTCAATGTTCAGAAAAATGTTTTCCAAGCCAATAGCATCTGAAACCTCAGTCATCAAATAAAACAGGGGTTTTAAAGTTTCATACTGAGCTCTTGCATAGTGCAAAGCATAACTATAGTCCAAGAATCTGCTAGTAGTCCATGAGATACAATATCATCTCTAACTCAACTATTATTATGAACAGGTAATATTAGGCGATCGAAGGCATCGTGTTGATTGCTCACAATAAACGAAGCACTACATCATCTCAAAATGCTAGTGTAGACAAGGAATATCCCTGAATTCCGGAGGCCAACTCCCATGCCAAAGATTTTCAAATTTGTAATTTCTGTTTTGTTTTCATTTTGCCTTGTTCCTCCTGTAGCCTCAAAGTCGGCATATAATATAATGTGAAAAATCACTAAGTTAGGTGAAAAATGTAATGTGTGGAACCTATGTCTTAAAACTAGCTCTAACTGTAAAAAAACTGCAGATTCACCTACTCAAATTAGTGGTTAGACCGTTGAGTATTGCTTTCATACAGGAGTCGCTGGTTCAAATCCATAGTGGGTAGAACTTGTTACATACCAGAGTGGGTTCCGGGGACAAAGATATTAGAAAAATTACCAACTTGACCGTTTATCCAACTATTATATTTGATTATTTACTAAAATCACCTCTTTTTAGGGGGGGATTTATTGAATAAAATACGTTCTAAAGCACCAGATAATCACCTATTAGCATCAATCCAAGTTGCCAAGTCATTGTCCATCCATTCATCCCTGATCTTTCCAAAAAGATCTATTAGAGCATCTCTGTTCTCACCCCACTCTTCCATGATTACCGGTTTTATTTTAAACCAGTTCTCCAAAATTTCCTCAATCGTGAGCCCCTCTGCGACCTTGCATGTAAACAATGAATTTCAAGGTCAGGAATCCTCCAAAAGCACAAAAGATAATGTGGGACATCCACCTGACAGATGGTTTCCAGTTTCCGTGCATCCCACTAACAGGAAATTATATTTTTGCATTAGATACCCACCGAAGACTTTCGAATAGAAGGGATTCTCATCTCCAATAGCAACCTCACAAGTAATAAATTTTCGTATCCAGTTTCTACTACAGGGCGAACCTGTAACCAGTTTAACAATTTTGTCATTTTCAAAGTGTTATAAATGGAAGCAAATATTGTATACAAAAAAAATTTGCTAAAACTAAGAATATTCAATAATGATGAATTAACTTATTTATCATACAGAGAGAAAAATTTAATAATCAAGAAAAGAAATCCAAAAAGGTGAAACTTCTAACTTCAAAATGTAATTTCTAGATAACTCAAGCATCAAATTCAAAATCCTTGAACCAAATATCCAATCTAAAGAATTATCCACTCGTAATCTTTTTGTATCTTTTTTTCTAAATCATGAAACTCTGAACAGAGCACCCTTTAAACTTCAATTGTCGTAAATCTCCACATCCTAAAGTTCAATTTATTTTCTTCTTTCTTTCACCATTTCAACATTCCTATGCTTTCTAAGCTGCCACTGAACAGCAATATTTTTCAATATTTTCCTCCTCACAATTTTTCAAAATTAATAACTAATTCCAGACATTAATATATAATAAATTAATAAGTAATTAACATAAGTTCAAAGAAGATAGTCAAATATATGAACAAATCATTACTATGTGCATCTGATCAACAATCCAATCCTCCAAAGCTGAATTCACTCCGTCGAATAGACTCGGCCATCTGACTTTCGCAGCCTACGTCAATCAACAAATTTTCTTAAAAAAATGCATATACATAATCAAACAGCAGGAAAATCAAGATTTTTGACACACTAAATCAAACAAAAAGAAAACAAAAACCCATAAGATAAAAATATTAACCTTAACAGCAGAAATAGAGCTCTCTCCGCAGCTGTCACAGAGAACGCCATCAAAATCCAAGGCGTATAGATCTCCCATGAGTGTGTGCGCGCGTGTGTGTTCTCTTTCTCAACCAATGCGGATAATATTCAGTTTGATACCCGCCACAGCATAGGGCCAGGTGGTCGTCTTGCGGACCAAATGTGGAAATTTGCTCCGGGTAGTTGACACGAATCGGGGTATAATTTCATCTTAGCCCCCGTAGTTTTTTATTGGGTAATGCTACATGTACACACACTTTTACACAATTTTTTATATGGGTAATGCTACATGTACACACACACTTTTACACAATCTTTTACACCTCTCTCACATGAAGGGGGGTCCACGATTATTTTATTATGTGTGGGCCCCCTTCCATGTGAAAGAGGTGTAAAAGATTGTGTACACTTAGTATTATTCTTTTTTATTTCTTGAAACTTACTGTGTACGTAGGGGTCTAAAATGGCTCTAACCTTATTCTATGGGGGTTTTTTACATGTAAAAATGTCATCTTTACTTTATTTCTTTTTTATAATGAAATTTTTTTTACCAATTCAATGGTGTGACAAAAAGCTTTTGCAATAAAAAAAAATGATTTTTTAATGGGTAATTAGCACATAACGTCCTCACATTGCGCTGTTATTGTAAAAAAAATCCGTACCTTTAATTTTTTTACATTTTCATCCTTATTTACATTTTTCATTACGCAAAAGATCATTTTCATCCATTTTCTTAATTAAAAATCGTAAAATGACTATTGTATCATTCTCTTTAGATAAAACAAAAATTGAGAACTTGTAAGAATCCCATTTTGTGTAGTTTGAATTTCAAAAATTAAAAATCAAATATACATTACCACAATTAACAAAATTGGAAACAAAATAAAAATTTATACTAAAATATTATTTAAAACAAAAATATCTTGTAGAATAGTGTTGTGAGGGTTCTTTATCTGTTCTTGGTGAATATTAACCTCTGGTTACTTGGTGTAATTGTGAGAGAAGAGAGATCGAGAAGAGAAATTGTATTTTGAGGGCTTTTTTGGTTGATACTTTGAGTGTTGGCCATTACTCTTGCACGCTTTGAATGTGCTAGTGGATTTAGAGCATTAACTACAGAATTTGTGGATGCTCAACATGATGAGTAGGTCTTTTAGGTTAACATCTGGACCTTAGGGCTAAAAATCTTGGCGTTCTTTACTTTCTATCAAAATTTTATTTTAATTTGTCAACAAGAATACCAACAAGTGATACTGAGCCTTCGATCTTAAAGAAAACTTCTTAGATTCTGGTTTGGTTTTTCTTGAAGAGTAAACCATAGATCTTCACAAATTTGTACTTTTAAAGGTTAAAAGCAGTTTTGTAGAGGAGGCATAAAACAGATATTAATATTCTCTATTTTATGTTTGTGATCTTTGATTATCTGATAACGATTGTTGATCATCAGTGTAATTTCTTCTTGATGTGGTAATATCTTTTGGACCATTTGAAAGAAACCCTACTAGATCTTCCTTTGTTTAGGGTTTCACGCAAGAACTCTGGAATCTGAGGGGAAGAATTTGGTTTCTTCAAAGTCGCTATATTTCTTGGTAATTTTATATTTGTTATCATCTGATTAGTTACACTATAATGAATTCTTGTATTCAATATAACACATACTGTGAATATTGTTGCTTGTTGATCATTTTGTGTTATATTTGTTATATCATTTCTTAATCACATTAAATATTTGTTAAAAATATTAAACTATCTTTACTTAATGAAATTACTGCATTGGTTGAAAACCAGGAAAAGTTTTTCAAAACTTTGAAAGAAACTGTGGTTTTTATTTTCAATTTTTTTAAAAATGGGAAGTACCAAGATGTGTTGAAATTTGGAATGACAAAGGAGATTTTAGTATCTGAATCCAGAAAATGAGAGCTCAACTTTTACAACAAAGATTTGCAAAAGCCCTTAATGAATCTTGGGGACTTGGGATTGATGACGCTAAAAGAATTGATCAAATTGAAATTGTATAAAGTACATTATTTCTGCATTTATCTGATATTGTCATTGGGAAAGTAAGTAAAACTAAGACTGCATCAGAAGTATGGAAGAAACTGGACACCTTGTATAAAACTAAAACACTTCAAAATAAATGCTATTTGTGGAAAAACCACATCAAATCGTGGAGTTGCAAATACATGGCCAGACCACAGCCACCCAAACACTACCACCACAACCCAACCGCGACGCCGTCGCAACTTCGCAGCAATCGGAAGTGTCGGGTAACAAATAGAGAGAGGAAGGAGAGAATGAGATGAATACCGCATGCAGGTAGAGTATAGAGAGAGTGGGATAGAGAGAGAGAGAGGAGAAAAAATGGGTGATGGTAAGGTAGAGTAGAGAGAAAAAAATGGAGACGATGAAATAATTAGGGTTTTGGTGTGTATGATTGGGTAGAATGAATATGTATATTTAATTTTGTAATATAATTATTAATATTTTAAAATTTAATTATCATCTGATTTTTGAAATAAAAACTTGTTAATCTGATTTTTGAAATTGAAAGTTTAAAATTTTGGTATGATGTAATTTCCATATAAATTAATTATCGACTTTGATTAGATATTTTAATTGAATGTGAATCCAAAGCAAACCGGGGCTTATCATCTAAATCCAGCCGAAAGGTATCACGTTAGGTAAATATTGTTGGGCTGATATGGTTAACCCCTTTGGGCCTTCACACTTGGGTTCAACTTGGCCCAATGATTGAATAAAATTGGAAGCCGGACATGCTTCATCACTGTGCTTGCTCGGACATGCTTCATCACTGTGCTTGCTCGTGTTTTGGTTATGCATCCTTATGTTAAATGCTGAGACGATGACACGTGGATGACTGGTAGCCATTGATGCAAGGTTATTGGCTTATTTCATAAACAAACATATCCCTTATCTCTCATATGAGAGATTATTTTAGGGTTTTCTATCGGTGGTGCTGTTTATTTCTCTATGTAATCTATTCTCTTTTCGTCTGTAATCGTTGCTTTTGTGATATTTTTTGGTAAGATTGTGAAATAGAGTATTGCGAGGGTTTCTTATATGTTCTTGATGAGCAATAATCTCTGGCTACTTGATGTAACTTTGAGATAAGAGATTGATAGGAGAAGCTGTATTTTGATGGCTTTTCTAGTTGATACTTTGAGTATTGGCCATTACTCTTATATGCTTTGATTGTGCCAGTGGATTTAAAACGGTAACCACAGTACTGTAGATGTTCAACGTGGTGAATAAGCACTATGACTGAACATCTAGATCTTAAAATGAAAATCTTGGGGTTCTTTACTTTCTATCAAAGTTTTGTTTTAATTTTTCAATAAAAACTCATACATATCTTACCTCATTTCTTATAAGGTAAACTTAATATCATGGTTTCTTTACTTTTTTATCTCCATTATTTTTAAAATGCATTTTCACTTTTTTTCTTTTCAATTATATATTTTTCAATAAAATAATATTATACGCAAATTCAAAAATATTCCTTATTTTTCAACAATTCATTCTTCGATAATATACTATTCCAAAATAATTCTTAAAAAATAATAATAACGTGACTCAAACAAACATCAATCACAAAGCCTCTAATCCCAAGCGACTACAGTAACTCGAGTTTAGCTTGGAGATTTATTTCAAATGATCGGGAATTGTTGCAAAATGAGAACTTTTGTATCTTCTATATTTCATGTCGGCCTCGACTGATTGTGTTTCGTTTCTATTTTTTCTTTTTTTAAAAAAAATTATCATTTACTTCCTTTTTATTTGGCAATAGTTTACAATGTTTTTATGGGCATAAATATTGATTAATTTCTTAAGACGTACGGTAGGATCCTTATACGGACACTTACTAAATTATAAGCCAAATAATATAATTTTGATTTAATATATTTTTCTACGACAAAATAAGGATTGTCGTATCATTCAACATGCAAAGCATGTTTAGAAAACTAGTTAAAATATAAGTTGATATAAATTAGAGAGAAAATAGAGAAGTCAATAAATTTGTATTTTGTTTTATTGAGAATCAATGTCTTACATTTATAGTTTATAATTACAGTTATATATAGGTCAACTTCAAAATATGAGTTCCACACAAATATTTTAAAAAATTTAATAATTTTTATTTAAAAAAATATTCAAAGTTAAGAGAGAGAGAGAGAGAGAGAGAGAGATTAATTTATAACTTTCAAATGTTTAGATTAAATTTACTCCTCTAGATTTTTTTGAAAGAAAATTAATAATTATAGAAATACAATCAATCTTTTTTAAAACTTCTTTTTCAATAGACACCGTGGTCAATCTATTCAACTTTTTGTGACATTGTTGACCTAAGGTAGGTGGTATGTGTGTTTTTACACAATTATTAGGCACTTTAGCGAGCTAATTGTTGACGAAACTGAGTGGGTTCTTATTCACAGATGTGTAATTGTGGCCTTTGCATGCTAAAATCCCAAATTGGAAGAGAAGGAAGCTAAAGGAAGGAAAAAGGGCCAAAAATGCACAAAAATCATGACGTTGGGGACTAAAATGTACAACCCCAAAAGTCCAAGGAATTGAGTTGTAGATTATGAAGGAATTGATTGAAAGAATGACGTTGGGGACTAAAATGTACAAGCCCAAAAGTCCAAGGAATTGAGTTGTAGATTATGAAGGAATTGATTGAAAGAAAATTCAAAATCTGAGGACTAAATTTGAGGAAATCAAAGATGGAGGACAAAGCGTGCAATTCTTTGGGGTCAAATTGAAGAAAATGAAAAAGAATTATGCCAAATGTACATTCCATTGTGTACATCTTTGTGTACATTCCATTATATTTCAAAAAATGTTGGGCGAGAAAGTGTGTATTTTTTTAAAACTATCCAATCATATATCGCCACATGACACAATGTCAAAAATGATGTACATATAGTATGATTGAAGGGAAAAGGAGATACGGCGCACACCTTAGCCTGCAGCTAAGGCACACGACTTAGCCCCAAAATTGGGTGACTCAGGGTCGCCTTGGTAAGAAGGTGCGTGCCT